ACACAGACACACACAGACACACACACAAAAAAAAAAAAAAAAAAAAAAAAAAAAAAAAAAAAAAAAAAAAAAAAAAAACTCGCAACGCAGACAGCTGCACGGGGCACCGCCGCCCGAGCACCAGCGCGCGCGTGGCCAAACTCCACCGACATCGCGGCGTAGAGCTTGCGGGTCTTGCTGCAGACACTGCCGGGGGGGGGCCAGACCGACCCGGGCGCCCGCGAGCACTGCCCGCGCGGCCAGCCCGCGCCCCTCCGCGGCCGGGAATGGCAGGCCCAAGGGCAGAAGGGGCCACCTGCGCCTAACATGTTCTGGCCGCCTGCGAGAGGTCACACAGAGGCCTCAACAGGACCAATCTGGCAGATGTCATAGGAGGGGAAGGAGGAGGAGGAGGAGGAGGAGCGGCCGATCATCCATCTTCCGCCAGGCTCGTTCACTGCCCGCGCTTCGCGAGCATGTCCCCGAGAGGGGCAGACGCAAATGCGAGAAGCGCCACAGGCATGAAACAGCTGTTCCATCGAAACCACCTGCCCAGTGTCTCGGCCAGCTTTACAAAGGGGAAAGTAGGAGGGCGGGAGGGGAAAGCTTGAGCCCCGCACGGCGGCGGGGCGGCGCCACGTCAACGAGTCTTCAAGCAACCCCGCCCAGTCGGACTCAAATGCACGGCCGATCACCGGCCTTCCGCCAGGCTTGTTCACCGCCTGCGTCCCACGAGCATGTTTCTGAACGCCCATGGATACAGTAGCACATCTAGAACACGCCACGAAAGCACGACAGAACCCATAAGGATAAATCTCTGCCTTCTTGGAAACAATCTTGGAGCCTTCCATCTCGAATGTCTCGCGAGGAAGGCAGGAGAAGCCGCGTGCACCTTTCCCTGAACATCGAGACCCCAGCGGCTGCAAACCGAGATGGCAGCCCAAAAGCCTTGTAGACTTGCTCCATCGAGTGCCGAAAGCGCACATCAAAAACAACGCCAGTCACGCCAGGTAGCCCTCGGGTCCGAACCATTCGAGGCGGCCTCCAAATATGCGAGCTCGCTGGATTCTCGATGACCACGGGACATCCGCCAAGGCGGTATTCACGAAATATGGACAGGTAGCAGCGCACAGCTTATTTCCAAGATCAACCGATCGCTGGCAAGATTCGTCTAATCCAGGGAGGCATTCGGGGCGGTCAGAGGTCCGGGCGGCAGGGAGGCCGCTCGGGCGATTACGCGCCACGGAGAACGAGTTGCACGGGGCCCCCACGAAGACGGCAATCACAAGCCCTGACCGAATCCACCCCTGGATAAGCCTGACCAGGCCCATGGCGAACGTCGATCTCGAAAACTGGATGCCCCCCTCGCAGGGTGCCCCGATCCCGAGAAGAACTCGAGGATAGCTGGGCTACCGAGAGATCTCACAGCTCGCGGGAGGCATGCACGAGGATCTCGCCAACGTTCGGGGCCACCGTCTCCGCGGCGGTCAGCGCGCTTGGGTCGGCCATGCTTTGTTGCTCGTTGAACCGACCACCGCCCTCGTAGCGGGCCAGGCTCACGTCGCCAGCCCAGCGGCTTCTCTTCTTGGCGCCGAGGAACGACCAGGCTTCGAAGAGCAGGTCGTGCGACGCTCCTACGTAGCGAGGGCGGCACAGACTGATCCCCCCGAGCATCGACAAGCCAGCGGCGGCGGCCGCCGTCTTCAAGGCGCGACTCCACTGGGCCTGCCCGAACGGAAACACGAGGGACGCGGCTGCGGTCCTGGCCTTGAGGCTCGCGAGCACCATCGGGATCCACGGGAAGAGTAGGTTGTCCGCCAAGAGGCTCTCGCCCACCGCTGCCGTCTTGGAGGCGTCGGTTCCCTCCTGCGGGCACAGCAGGGTCGACCGGGAGGCCGCGTGTCGAAGACCGTTAAGTTCGCTAGCTATGGCAGAGCCGATCGCGCCGCCAAGCTGCAGGAGTCCCGTTGGCGACCGGCCTCGAGGAGGAAGAGCAGCGCGATTTACATTAGCCTTGCTGACGGGAACCACTGAGCTACCAACTGTGGAGTTACCAAGGTTAATGCGGAGCTCTCGTAGAGGTAAGATATTCGGGGGGGAGGGGGGGGGTCTTCAAAAAAGTTCGACGGCACGTCTGACATGCGTAAGACTGACCGCCCGGGCCATAGATGCCGCGCGATCCACCCAAGAGACACCGGCCCCATACATCTCATTCAAGACTGCCACAACCTCCGAGACCTAAGATGCCGCCTGGCGCGAGGACTCAAGTCCCCTAAGAACTTTGCGAGAGACGGAGGTCCTACGGGGGTCAGGAGAGGCCGGCACGGGCAGGGGGCAGAGGTCTCGAGGGCAGGCTCGCGCCACGGGGCCAGGTGCCACGCAGCGACGAGAGATGGCGAGATAAGGAAAGGGGAGCGAAGCGCGCCTCACAATCTGACAAAGACTGACTGAAAATCGAGACGAGCCTGCCTCAGCGCGTCTAGCCCCGAAAAGGGGGGAGGATCACCAGCAACGCGTGGGGGCGCGTTGCCGGCAGGCACAGGGGACTCAGGAGGCTGGGCCCGCGTCGCCCTCTTCTTCACGGGCTCTGCGGACCTGCTCGAGGACGTTGGCGCCCCGCTCCACCTGCTTGCCAACCCATTCAACGAGGGCGAGACAGACCACAGCCTCTCCCGCATCAAGCTGACCACGAAACACATCATACTCGAACAGGCAGCCGAAGGCGCCAGCGATGGCACCGCGGCCTTCACGTCCACGACCCTTCTTCCCACGGCCTGCTCGCTCACTGCCCGCGCTCTCTGAGGGGCCAGCGAACGCATCGTGCATAGAGCACGCGTACTCGACCAGCTGCCCCTCCCTCGTGGAACTCTTGATCCCTGCAACATTCGGCAAGTCGGTGCCCTTATAGCGCACGAGTCTTCGAAGCCTTCAGACCGAACTCGAGCATGCTGACTCCCCGACTTCCTTTGTGCAACCGACGGATCATCACAAAGAGGCGGTGGTGGTAATGCGGCCCGCCGCCTCGCCCGTGGATCCAGCGGCAGCGCCAGAGCGCTGCGAGTGGGTCCTTGACCGCCCAGTCGGGGAAGGCGACCTCTGTAAGTGCTGAGACCACATCGCGCCACAGACGACGAGCTCGAAGCCCATTGATCGAGATCACCGAGAGGGCACGGGCGTCCCCCGCTGCCTCCAAGTCTTTGTACCCGTCTATCTGATCGGAAAGGGCCAGACGTACCAGAACAGCTCCACCATCAGCAGGGAAGTGGAGTCCGATGTCACCAGTCATCATCTCATGGCCGCTCGGAAGGACAATCGTACCTCGCGGCACGACTGCGGTGGTCTCCACGGTCTCCAGCACCGGCTGCGCGACGACCGGAGCATGTATGCAGCACCAGCGGTTCGCCCGCTGCCCCAGGCAGCGCAGCGGCAGCGCCACCAAGCCCAGCGGGCAGGCCAGCGGCCACAGGTACAGCGCGGGCGGCAGTGGGCAGCGGTGCCGCCAGAGCGGCCGCGGGCCCCATGGGCCCCGCTGCCTGCTCGGCCAGTGCGCCCAGCGGGGCCAGCGCCACCAAGGCGGCGGCGGCAATGCCAGCGCCAGCCGCCGGAGGCTCGCCTCCTGGTGGGGTTCCTGCTCCCGCCATCGCGCTGGCAGCGGGCACCCCCGCGGCTGCTCCTCCCGCGGCACCAGGGACAGGCGGTGGCCAGACGGTCTCGATCAGGCTGCCTCCAGACGAGAGTACACCAGGCTGTCCAGCCGCCACCTCGTGGGCGATGTCCTCGTCGTCGCACAGCGCCGTCCCCGTCGCTTTCAGCGTAATCAGAGCGGCCGCGTCGGGGTCCCGATCGGATCGATATGCTCGGTTGCGAGGGACACCAGAGGGAGGAGGCTGGTCTGCACCTGCCCAGCACCAGGCCTCGATGTCACGCGAAGCTCCTCCTCCCACCACGGCTGCGGTGGTCAGCTCTCCCACGGCGGCGCCCGCCAGTGCAGCGTACCAGCTCGCAAGAGCCGATCCTGCGCCAGGCGCCTCGCGCGGGCAGGCGGCGGCCACGCTGCCAGCAATCGTGGGGCACGGCGGACACGCGGGGCACGGCGGCGCAGCTGGACAGAGCCCCTTTTCACACACCAGCGAGCCGCAGGCCGCGTCGGGGCTCCGAGGGCGGGAGGCGAACCACGGAAGAGCCGTCTCGCCAGCCCAGAGCGCGGCGAAGAACAGGGGGAGGATGGGCATACACTGACGCGAGGATGGTGTAGGCCCCCCCCCTGAAAAGCTTGAGCCCCGCATGGCGGCAGGGCGGCGTCATGTCAACGAATCTTCGATCAACCCCGTCCAGTCGGACTCGAAGGAGGAGGAGGACGAGGAGGAGGAGGACGACGACGACGTCGACGACCGACGACGACGCCGACGCCGACGCCGACGATGGCCACCCACTGGCCCACATGCTAGAATCTGCGCTCACTGCCTCTGGGGCCAGCGGGGGCCCCTACGCTTCATCCTCCCCGCCCCCCTCCCAAACCTCGGAGGCGGCCGAGGGGTCTCTGCGCTCGGGATGGGCCCCGAGGGAGTCGGCCAAGAGGGGGGGGGGGGGATGAGGCCAAGTCCGCTCAAGATCGGTGCCTCAAGGCGGGGGGGAGGAAGCCAAGTCCGCTCAAGAGGGAGGGGATGAGGCCAAGTCCGGTCAAGAGGGGAGGCCAAGTCCGCACCAGTTCTTCGAGCCGCGGCCAGCCGTGGCGACGAGGAGCCCCCAGGGGGCCCCAAGAAGGACCGACTTCAAGCCCTCCCCCGCCTCCTCACCCCTTCCCCGCCCGTCCCCCCACCCCCCTCCCAAGGATTGTGCTGTATTGGTTCCGTTGTCGTGCCCCAGCGGGCGATATGCCCATATCCACCGCCTGCCGAGGTCCCCGAAAATTGATCCTCCAGGCGGTGGTCATGTATGAACTTCCGCCTCGGGGGTTTGGGTGGTATGAAGGGTGGTGACCTCTCCCCTCGGCGACGACGAGGGCGACGACGCGGGCGCGC